AAACTTCCATTCTGTTTTCTTCTTATAATACTTGTCCAAGGAATAAAAAAATCAAAATGACTGATAGATCTTTTTTAGCTATCAGTAGAAAAGGGTCCATGGTTCTTTCATCTTCTCTTACACTCTATAATATTCTTCATGCTCCTAATGAAACCTTCAAGTTAAAATAGATAATATCTTGCAAATTGGGTCTGATCTTTACAAATGGTATCAAAGTATTATGACACCCTCAATCCCATATTGAAAAAATGAATGGATATGGTTTGATATATATGCAGAGATTTAAATATAAATCTATGAGGTATTTTTTGTGGGACAAAAATATGAGACTTTCAGGTTAAAGTGGACAACCACTTGTCACGAGTCGAGACTCAACCTCCAAGCCCGCACAGCTTTAGGACCCGAACATCCACTCATTTCACGTTTCAGATCAACTTACTTACCATGGTTCATACTCTTGTGAGGTATTGTCCATTTTGACCCCTCTGGCCTCAAGGTTTTGTCCCACAAAAAGCGCTTTATAAGGAAGAGGCGGTGTGAGCCCTTATATTTCATGGCTCACTCTAGTACACAGTCGATGTGAGATTTCTAACTTCACTCCAGGATCCTGACATCCTCTCTCATTTCAATGGAGGCCCACTGTCCTCAGTGGCACATCGTTAGTACTTTCAGAGCTGACTCTGATACCACTTGTCATAGGTCGAGACACAACCTCCAGGTTTAGGCGACTTCGAAACCTGGCACCTACTCATCTGATGTCATAGATCAGCCTACCTGCCACAGTGACACCCTTGTGAAGTACTATCCCTTCTGACCTCATAGTTTTATCCCATAAAAGACGTATCGCAGGCTGTGTGTTGGTTTCTACAAATAGTATCAGAGTATTATGACACCCACAATCTCACATTGAAAGAATGTGTGAATATGATTTAATATATATGTAGAGATTTAAACCAAAATCTATAAGGAGTCTTTTGTGAGATAAAATTGTAAGACCTTCAGGTTAAAGTGGATAATACCTCGTTGGTTAAGTATGGGTCTCTACATCTAGTCATGTGATCAGTTGCACCAAAATCAATGATCCAAAGATAATAAGATGTGGAATTGACATTAACTAAAATTGTTGTGAGGTAGTTACCCTTTTAGGCAAATGAACAAGATGGAGATAGATTAAAGTATACATAAAAAGAGAGAGATTGAAAAAGTTTGTATAGATGCTCTAATTGATTCTTGGTGAAAGAAAGCATTTTCGAAACGATTTGTTACCTTTATCAGTATTGGACACTTAGAAAGCTTTATTATCTCTACTAGTTTGTTTCTTCTAGTTTTGAGGCTTCCCATGCAATTTCCAATATGTTTCTCGAGTGTGCCATGCTTTTTTACAGTGATCACACCATGGCCTTTTTTTGTTTCTTCTATCTTTTTTTTAGGCAGGTCTTTTTAATACAAGAGCAAAGCTTTCTGCATCAATATTTAGTCGATATTCTCTATTCAACATCATCTTATGTTTGGTCTTCTCCCTTTGTACTTCAGAGAAAAACTTTTCGGATGGATAGTAGTGTCCCAATTGTAAATTCTATAGGATTGATAAGCCAAGCAATTATCATGAAATTTTTAAACCTCTATGTTTTCAACATCGAATCATTTATTGTTGGTTTCTTTACTTTTTTGATTAAATGACCAAGTGTTCTTTTGTCATTAATCACCAGTTTTACACACTAGGCCCACTTTAGGTAATTCTTACCATTCAATTTATGAATGATTAATTGAAGAGAGGAATTCAAATTGATATAATGAATCTATTGAAAATGTGTAAAGGAAATGGTCTGAGTGCTATCCACATCATTCGTAAAAGTTATTGAGTCTTTGGTGGCTTCGGTCATGGTAGTTTTTGCCATCTTAAAATTTTTTAATTTAGACTCAACCCTCTAGCTTTGATACCATATTAGGTTTTGAGAATCAAAATTTCATTTTTTTTTATTTTCATAAAAAATAACTACAAAATAAATAGACTAAACCAGATAACAAAAAGATAAAAATTTCAAACTTAAAAAGGATAACAAGAAGATAAAAAATTTCAAATAATAAAAACTAGATCTTATCCCTAAAGTTAAAGAATTTGATGTTATTCCTTAACTAACTCTTAAATCTTCTACATTGACAAATATTGATAAAGTATCTGAACGTGCTTGCACTAATGTTGTTTATTGGGGCTTATACCATTTTGAGATTTTTTCATTTCTAAGTAACCTTTCGTTGAGGGTGTTTAGTGATCTAAAGGGCATAATAGTCTTTTTTTTTTTCATTAGAGGCTCTTGCTAGACAACTAAGAGTATTTCAAACATATGAGCTGACCTGACCTGACACATTCAGTGCCATGTTAGCTTGGCCATGTCATTATTGTCTCCCACTGGTCCCTTGCCTCTTATATATAAATATAGACATTTTGACATTATCATCCCAAGTTTCATCTGGTCTCAACCCTTTATTCTTTTCTCTTTCCAACTTCTTTCATTCTGATATTTGACTTGCACATTAGAGTGTAAATGTAGGAAACACTCTCTGCCTTTTCACTTAACTGATTTCTTCTTTTTTTATCTTTTTAGGAATACCTTCATATTGAAGCTCGATACCAACATTTGGTGCACCAGGTAGGGGCTTTCTATTCGTCAACCAAGCATAAGACAATACTGCCTAAGAAGAGAGCTCTAAAGGAAGAAAAGACAGTCATCTTGGCTAGAACAAAAACATACAATAACCAACATTCGGACCAACCTACCTCACAATAGATTAGTTTAACCATAGAGTAGTTTCAAGCTCTAACTGAGTAAATATAAGCTCTTAAGTAAATATTACTCTTAAGCAAATATTATAAACTATAACCCTACCACAGACCTCAAAGGTGCCTGACCTAGTCACCCTTAATCGGCAATCCGTGGAAAGGCAATCAAGTTATGAAAAAGTATAAGCCTCCATGGCCTCCATGGAAGAAAAGCATGATATTTTAGCCATTTGCCATTACCAAGCCATAACTCAACACATGTCACAACCCAAAAATAAAAACAAACTGACTTGGAACCCCAATCAAATAAAGACTTAAAAGTTCAAAAGTAAGCCATGGAAAAAAACCTAACAGTGAAAGTGATAACTTTCAATGACGGACTCAAATTCTTAAAGACCTCGTCTTTCATTGAAGAAATCGATAGAGTTATGCCTCCAAAGGGATTCAAAATGCTGACCTTATAAACTTATAATTATAATTTTGATCCCTTTGATTATTTAAAACTTTTTAAAACTAATATAATGATGTAGGGTACAGATAAAGCTTTGATGTGTAAAGACCTTACTACTACCCTTAAGGGCACAGTTCGATCTTGCTATAGCAGTTTAAAGTCAAGGTTAACCATGACGTTTAAAGAGCTCGACCACTTTTTTCTATCTCAATTTATGAACAGTTGAAGAATGAATCTTACAAGAATTATGCCATGCGTTTTAAAGCGAAAGCCCTACAGGTTAAAAACTTAAAACAAATGGCAGTTATAACGGCCCTAATAATTGAACTTAATGATAGAGAGTACCAGCTCAAGCTGACCTTATCCTTAGAGCCAACTAAGACTTTGGTCGATGTCCTACAAGTAGCTAAGAAATATATAAATATTAAAGCTATAATAAAGAATAGTTGAGGTGAAAAAGACTCATCTCTCTTCTTCGATCGTAAAAAAAGCAAGAATTTCTATAATATTCTCCTAAAAGAGAGACAATATAGGGCCAAAATTCCCAACGAAGAGAAAACTATATCGCATTGAATACCTTATGAGAGAGGAGTCTAATGCAAATTAAGAGAAATATAAAGCGTAGATGGTCAAAGCCACTAAGGTAGAATACAAAAAGGGATATAACTAAAAGATGTACCTTCTATTAACACATAGGTCATAACATTAAAGATTTTATCTACCTTAAAAACAAGATTAAAGCTTTGATTAAAAGAGGTTAGTCGAAAAGATTTATGGACCAATGAAGGCAAAGGTAAAATAGATCAAACTATAAACGGGATCAAAGAGAACCCATAAGGGATAAAGAAGGTAAACTAGAGAAAAACAAGATAGAAAAAGTTTGGATAGATGAATAAAGATAGGAGAAAGGCTGAGCTGACAATAACAGACCAATTACTAAGGTAATTAACATGATTACTAAAAGAAGCTTTACTTTGACCAAAAAGAAGTTTAATCAAGGCATAATTATGGCCATCATCTTTTCAACAAAGAAAAAGAATGACTAGAAAGATGAGCCAATCTTATTCAATTTGGAATACTTAAATTCAATATCCTCATGATGATGCCATAGTGATCACAACAGTGGTGTATAATTACATTGTCAAGAGAATCTTGTTTGATAATGAAAGCTCAATCGACATTCTATACCATGCCACCATGAAAAAAATAAGAATCAAGAAAGATTAATTACAACCGATCACCATGACCCTAATCGAATTTGGGAATGAATAGGCAGCAGTGAAAGATGCCATTGGATGAGCTTGTATATGATTGTGATTAACGAATTCAATTGAAATATTGAACCATATGTTTACCAAATGTGATCGAATATTGAGTATGCTTTGACACTTATAATTTCGAGCTAGAAAGCAATGAGTGAAAAGAATGTTTTGAACCAAATTAGAGTGGGAGGTGGGGTTAGAAGTGTCCTGGGATATCATGAGAATAAGATTGTTGGACTGTGCTTGGAAAACTGAAATTGTTTGTGTTTGGAAAACTCAAAAGTAAAAACTTATGCTATTAACTAACATAATGACCAAGTGTTGTCTATCTTGGTTTGTAAATATTGAAGTAAAGAAGAACAATGATTATTAAAGGAATAAGCTTGAGATGACTGTGCTACATTTTCACTTCTAAGCATATGCATATGTCTAACCAATTGAAACTGATATATTAAGAAGGATTCAGATTACCGATTCCCTACAGTTAAGGCAATACAATACTAAAATGTCAATTAGTGCCGATAGGCTGATGTATCTATCAGTGCACTTACGTATTATACATAAAAAACGCTAATCTCTCTTTTAGAGGTATACTTGTAATCAATATACTGCAAACGAGACCTCTCATTGGTATATTTTTCAGGCCACTTCAGGAGCTAGTAGTATAGCGCAAAAAGCAGGAGTTGCTGCATTAGGCTTGGGCTATGCTGGTGGGCAAGCAGTTTCCACCAGGGTGAAAGCATTCAGGCAAAGGCGAGATTTCTTGGTTAAAAGCTTTGGGGAATTGGAAGGTGTTAAGATATCGGAACCTCAGGTGCCAGTATTGGTCTAAAATCACTTATCCAGTAAAACTAAACCCGATGTATTTATGAAAAAAAAAAAAAACCTTGTTTTTGTACTTTGCTTTTTCTTCAATGTTATGATATATTATTTTTTCATATAACATACTTCTTGCTTGCATTACTTCTGCCTTGCAGGGAGCTTTCTATCTCTTCATTGATTTCAGTTCTTACTATGGAATAGAAGCTGAAGGTTTTGGTAAAATTGAAAATTCAAAGTCACTTTGTCGATACCTCCTGGACATGGCTCAGGTATTCTTCATTGGATGCTGCCTCAGTACTCTTCTTTTTAAACTGATTGAGAAGGGCTAGGCTATGTGCTTCATCAATAGTTTGAAATTTTGATGATGTTGCCTGAATATTCTGTTTAATATTGAAGATCAAACATCACATACTGCTTCTACTGATTGACAGGTTCTTCTACTGATTGACAGGTTGCGCTAGTCCCTGGAGATGCATTTGGGGACGATAGCTGCATTCGTATATCTTATGCAGCATCCCTCACCACCTTACAAACTGCTTTTGAGAGAATTAAGAAAGCACTTATCTCCCTGGGGCCTGCTGTTCCATTTTAACACGGATGAATTGTCAAATGTCATGCAGCATATTTTAGTTGTTGTTCTTTATTTTGTAATTTGAAAATTTTAATTTTTAATAAGTTTTTCGAATAAAATTCTGGGTTTTCTTGGTTGATTTGTTCTTTTGTATGATTGTCCTGCATTTTCCTTTCAATTTCAAAGGTAGAGTCCCTACGGGTTTGATAGAGAAAATATGACTTCATGCTCATGCGTTTGAAGCTCGAAAATACATGCATGTCTAAGCTAATGAAATTCTAAATGCTTGTTCATTTCTAGCCTGAGATTTTGGCCCAATTATATAATTGTCTTTCGCTGGAGCTGTTTCTCTCATATAAAATTCTTGTGTCTTCCTATTAGCTTCTGTGAGTAGCATGAAAACTCCATCTATATATGCCACTTGATGTTGGGCTTATAATAGCCAAGAAAATGGCAGCTGCCAGTGCAGCATCAACAGCATGACCTCCAATCCGAAGAAACATCCATCCTTGATTTCTTCTTTCTATTTATTGCATTTCCAAACATTGTTAGTCATAGGTAATTTATAAGTAAATTCATAAACTGACACGTCCAGCTGTATCAGGCCATACTAAATTCATAAAATGGCAGCTGTTTCTTTGTAAACATGCCATGCTAACGTTTCCATTTTGTCATTCAATTTTTTATTTGCTTTCCATATGTTATCTAAAACAATAACTCATGTTTACTTTCCATATTGTATGCTGTCTTATAATTCCATGGTTATGAGATCAGAATGTTCCAAAGGAATATTTCTGTCCAGGGTAACCAGATCTAGCATTCCAAGGAATAAATTCCCTTTCCAAACGAGCTTGCTTGATATGTTCCAACAATCTTTCAATCGGAGAGGAAATCTGGAACTTGTCCCGAAAGTTTGCAGCCTAAAGGTTTCTGCTCCAAGATAATATTCCTGCATAACTTTAATCCTTCATCCAAAGCCTAAAACTATTGACTTGAACTACATGACAATCAATCTCTAATGCCAAGAATTCTCTTCTTCCACCATGCATTACCTCCCTTTCTTTCCCAACTTGCTTCATTTTTATCACGATGACAATGTCAATGAATATTGCCAAAAAACTTATTGATAGTAACTTGAAACGGAGGCTTTTATTCCACGGCAAGAAGGGTCAGCAGAAATTGTGTTTTTTCTGGGCATTGGAGTTTGGTGCAATTGTGGTTTGTACAAGGAAGCTCGTTGAGCTGGAGAGTTATGGTACCCTGATAAGGCCTAAGGACTTTTCAGCTGTTGCATTGAGGTCTAGTCGATGTGATGGGATTACTAGAGGAGTTGTTGTCAATGCACCTGAATTTGAGGAAGTTGCTGACAAAGTATTCAGAATTTTTAATATTGTAGGATATGGCAGGCCATAACATTCAGAGATTCGATTGTGCTCGTATTAAGGAGGCCTTTGCTGAGATTGGTAGGCCTGCTCCTGTATCTGTTGGGACCATTGATTCTTTGGGGGTCTTGACTAAGAAATTTGGCAGTAGAGCTGGAAATATGAAGGTAAAATTCATATCAACCTTGTTATTTGTAAGAATAATATCAGAAATTTAGTCAATTTTGAGACATGTCCCCTAGAATTTCAATTTCTTTGAGGCTGACTTTGAATATTCTTTTCCTGTAATGTTTAAAATTATTGTCCTGATCTAATTGCACTTCATGCGGATGGCAAGCTTAGCTGCTTACTTTGGGCTTGGGCAGCAAAAGCACAGGTATGGGAAATGAATATAATCATTGAAAATGTTGTTGAACAAATGAGAAAAGAAAAGGAACAGAAGGAAAATGAACATAATCATGCATGGTTTTATATATAAGTTCCTTAAACAAGAGCCTGGATGATTTTCGAATGAATTTGGAGGTTCTAAAGCATTGTGCAACTGTGCTCTTTTTGGTATGTCCTGAAACATTCAACAATGAATTCCTTCAACTTTTATCTTGATAACTTTCTCTTTTAGAATTTAAAAAAATTGTTTAAAGCTATGGGTTATTATGATGTTGGGAATCAAGCCTGCCTAGCATATTGAATTACAGTTGGTACAGCCCCACGACAAGAACGACAAGAAGTAGAAGCAGTAGGAAAATTGACATGCAGGGATGAAACTAGCAGGAAATCTCCTCCAACTTCTCTTGGATATCAAAGAACAGTACCCTGCACAAGGGCAGGCTTGGGAAAGGTTTTACTACTTAACGCCTATCTTAATTACATGTTAATTTGTCAATAATATTTTTTAAAAAAAGCCTTCACCTGAAATAAAAAAAAAATCACAAATACTGATATTTAAATTCAAACATACTAAATGTCACCTTGTGATTAAATGACCTTAAATTCCAAGTTCAGTCAATAATTAATTGCGATTTCTTATTGGTAAATGGTAACTAATAAGGAAAATGATCACTTAATTAATGAAGCAGTTGACAGAGAGAGTGAAGAATCTTTTGCGTAAAGTCCTAGGAAGCCAGCCTCTTAACAATTTGTTCAAGCATTCTCGTTCAGTGCTCCGACGATGATAATAAAAAACTAAGCCACCCTAGGGATTTAAACTATTATGACTAGCTCATTAACAAAACAAATATTTAAGTAGTTCCTTGTTTAATTATCCCTAATTTTTGCGTTAAAGGATTTGCAAAATTTTTGGGGGGCCAAGGCCCCCTCAGGTTCTCGTTAGCCTCAACCTCTGATTGCAGATGATAAAATTTTACAGAGGAAGAACAAATATGAAAGGGAGATTGACAAGGATGTCTGTAAGGGGTTTCCTCTCAACGAGAAATAGCATGCAGGCTTAAGAGAGTATATATCCATGCTTATTAATTGATCAACTATCTTTAAATTTCTGAGAATTTGGGACACTTTTTTTTTGGATTATTTGTTAATTACAAAGCTCTGATTATCTTTAGAAACAAATATCAAAATAATAATAATAATAAAATTTTAATAAATTATCTTTTGACTTTAAAATTAAATAATTCTACGGATATAATTGGAGTGCACCGGCATTATTATAGCTTTTTGTAATGGTAATTGAAATGTACTAAAGGACTTTAATAAACCCAGAAACATCATGAACAAGTTGAATATTTCAATCAAAAAGTGATGAAAGTGGATGGGAGATGAGGTTTTTATTACTCAATTCTTAGGGTTTAGATACAATGAATCTAGACACGCTTTCCATTAGCAGAACAGCATAGCAAACAGACAAAACCTCATTGCTTCTCTAAATTTTGTCTAGACGTTTTGTTGTCTGACCAAGAAAATACATTGTGTCTAGACGTCAGACAAAGATCAGCATATATCTTCACCAATATTTTTTTCCTGGCCAATTTATCGTTACCAATATCTTTGGATTAGAATTTTCAAGATATATGTAATTTAGGATTATATCCTAATTAAAACCCAAATTTGTGTCATACCCCATGTTTAAATATAACCGGTGTAATGAAATTTTGAAAGAAATTATTAAAAAAAATTGTTTGATTCATAATCAATAAAATTTTTAAATTTTACAAGCGATATAAAATTTTTTTTATGATAATATAAAAAAATAAAATAAAAATATAATTTTTAAATAATTTACAAAATATTAATTAAAAAATAAAATGTATCTTAACATGCTTATAGAAAAAAATTCCCTTATAAAAAAATAAACTTAATTATCAATATGTGATATTGCTGCAACTTTTTTTGGATTAATGGGCATAAACTTGTATTATTATTGGCAATATTGGGGTTGATACATGTTTCTTCACATGTTCTTCTTTTTTTTTTTTTTAACAAACATATAACAAATAACTAAATTCCACATGTAGAGAACAGAAGTTATTGAAGTCATTTGGTTAGGGGTGAGTAAATGGTCAATTCGATCGGTTCGGTTTGAAAAAATCAATAATCGACTTAACCGACTTTCATTTAACAAATAATCAAACCGACCAAATATTAGTAAATAACTGACCATAATCGAACCGACTAAAATCGGTTCGGTTCGATCGGTTCGGTTAAATAACCGATTTTTTTTATAATTTTTCTTCTTATTATGAATAATTATTTAACCATAAATTCAATTCAATAAAATTCAAACTCTAGTATCATTCAAACTAAATTACTAAAGAATTTAATAATTTCAAAAATATTTTACCAAAAAATAAATAAATAAAAATATTTATCTCAATTTTTTTATTTTTAATTATTAAAAAGTCGGTTAATTCGGTCAGTACGGTTATCAATTTTAAAAACAAAAAATCGATCGAATTAATCAATTTAATCGATTTAAAAAATCGATTATAATTAAAATCGAATAAATCGAACCAATTCAACCGAATTCACTCAGTTTTGATCGATCTAATCGGTCCAAACCGACTTTTGCTCACCCCTACATTTGGTAGCCTTGAGATACAATGAATGTGGACATGTTTTTGATATTGGGTCTCAACTGCGAAGCTAAGGGACAAAAAACCGAAGGTAAAGAATGAAGAGACCAACAACCAAGTTCCAAAGTGAATGGGACTCATTATTAGCGCTACTAAAGCCAATATATTCCCATTTGACCCAACTCTTTATTCTAATTCTTTGGAGAGAAATTAATCCATGTGGCTTTCCACTAACCACATTGGACCTAAACGCTTTTTAAGAGAGTGGAATCATACCTATCTAATAAGTTTTGAGAAATTCTATTTGCAACCACAAGTTTTTTTTTTTTTTTTTGCAAGTAAAATTTATTATAAAGTTATTCTAATAATGAATTATTTTATTATCCACAATAAAAGTATTTTGAAACACTCACCAGCCAACTCTATCTCATTAATTTGATATTAGATGAATATAAATTTTCATTGGAATATAAAACTATATGATATGCATTTTTTATCATGTTCTTATCACACAGGCATTTTCGGTAAATAATTAATCTCCTGGAACAACAGTTCCATACGTGTGGACCAATTTTTTTCACCATGAGAATGGAAATGCATTTTCAAATAAACTCATTGTGAACAGAACTTCATTTTCGAAGCGCATTAAGGATTATCAGACTTACATTTTCGTTCCCAAATACAGTCAAGTGATTCAATTAAATTTTTTATTCGATTAGAATGAAGATTCAATGTTCAAAAGACAAACTGAAAGAGGAAAAATACCTCAATTATTTTGTGTGTCCAGCCGTTAGGAACGTTATTAATGCCGTCTGCCATTTAGTGTCTGGATATTTTTGACCGCCAGGGATTTTTGAGTGTGGGTGTTTGAGTGCGTTTGTGTGTGATTTTGATTGTGATTTCATACATTTTTGGTCTCGTAAATGCTGCAAATGTTTTTTGTTTTTATTTGTTTTGACACTCATATATTGGATGTACTGTGATTTTGTATAGTATTTTTTTTTTCATGGTATTCACTGCTTCTTGGATAAATGAATTAAATTTTCATTTATCCAACGAAAAAAGTTCAATCAGAATTTTTAATCATAGCCACAGTACAAAAATTTAACGTTCACAAACTTAAAGTGATTATAATCACAGATGATCAGATACATACGTTTTTTTTTTTTTTTTTCAACATGCAAATCAGAACTGGTGTTGTGCTCACTTATTACTCCATTGAGTTCTACACTCTTATTATCATATGTGCCATTTGCCAGAGGGACTGGAACATACACACCACGAGACAAGCAAACCATATTTAAAAAGTTTGAGTACTTTGAGATTTCTTTTGTCTAGATCGGCAAAAAGTCCATAGCTTCTGCAACGCTCAAGTAGACCCTTCCTCCAATTTTACCCACAAAGTTAGCCAGCTTCAGCTTGTGAACCACTTGCCACCTAGGGCTTGCGATGGCCAGCTGCCAGGCAATAATCAAAAGAATTCAGGTTGAAGCTGATAGACCAAGGATATGAATTCATATCCCACCCAACTTTACCACTTGTGCTATAAGTACAAGTTAAACAAATGAAAAGCAGAATCCAAAGTTAGTTCAGTTTCGTTTGTGCAATCACCTTTCTTGTAACTCTTTCTTTTATCCTTAAACTTCGGTCTTCTTTGAAAAACAAAAGAAACAAATGAAAAACAGAAATAACATTGCCTTGTATATACCTTCATCCCATTTGAATCAAGATTCTTATGCAGTTCCTCCAGAGAAGCAATTCCTGATGTATCAATGTCCGTCAAATCTATACCATTCATTAAAAAAAATCCATATTGTGAGGTAAAATAAAAGAAGAATATTCAATAATCCCTTCAAAGCACAATTATTATCCTGATTTTCTCAAACTCTTACTGGAAATGTCAAGAATTACTACTTGAATAGTCTTTTCTGCATTTCCTTTGCTGTCCTTTTCCACTTCAATAACCCATTTCATAATCCTGAAAAAACAAATCATAACCGTAAAATAATGTTTTTCTTCATTATTATCTTGATATTTCTTGCTTGTGTATGAGCATTTTAATCTTCGGTGGTTGGGATTGACTGTTAAGTACCTTTCTCTAACAAAATTGGCGTTTGCAAAACAAAGTAAGGCAGACTTGAGACGCATTATTAAGATCCCTGGAGTCTTCACAGCCATAGGATATTGATTGACATTTCCAAATACATCACTTCCAGGGAGCCTTCCAAGGGTTTCAGTGCCTGGTCGAATTGATACGAGAATTATCTTTGCAAATGAAATTGTTACCTGCAACCATGCTCAAAGCATATCAAAACTTCAGCAAGTAAATGCATAATTATTTTCGGTTTGATTTGGAGAATCTTTTAGAATGCCAGAAACAGTTTCTGAACAGCACAGATATGTTCCTTTCTCACGAATCAAAAAAATTTTAATGCAATTAGGTAGGTATAGTACTATGCCTTCTGCTGCAGCAATGCATGCACAAACATGTTAACGGCAAATGCAGTGGGGTATGCATGACATTTTTCAAAGCTTCAACACCATAAACTCAAATTAACGCTCAGTAGTGGCTCAATTTTCATTCTCTTATGACCCAAAACCTTCTGTTTGATTTGAGACAAACTATATTTTGTTGACTTAAGTCTATTTTATGGCTACCTTTCCCCCTTCCAATATGAGCCTTTCTTTGTGCTCTAGAAATGCTCCCTTTTTGTGAAGCACATGCATCACCTATATTGGAGATAACTGTTGACAAACTACTTCTATGACAGTTATAAAATTATTTGATATCATAAAAAAAAAACAAAGTCAAGGATAGATATTATTCCCTTACACTTCTTAAGATATAATTAGCATAAACAAGTGATTGTTATATTTGATGCATTAACAATATATAGTGTGTATAAATTCTATTAACTGTTAAAGAATCAGTTGATGTCATCTTGAAAATTTTTAAAAGAGTTAATTTATATACCGTCAATAAATCAAATGATATTATTTTATTAATAAATAAATATCAATTTTTAAAATAAATATATAAAAAATTAATATATTTTTTAAAAATTTACTCATTAATGAAGTGTCATCATCTAATTTACCTTATTAATGAGATGACATCATCTAATTTATTAATAGTATATAAAATTTATATACTAAAAATACATCAAATATAAACATTTAAAAAATTAAGTTTTAGTGTACTTAATGATTTATAAAAATTTATATTTGTTTATTAATGAAGTGATATTATTTGATCCAATGATAATGTATAAAATATATATAAAGGCAGTGCAACAAATATAATTTGGTATACTATTACTACACATTAATTACAAATAATTGAGTCAATCCTAATTAGATTAGTTCGAGTGAAAATGAAAGTTACCGCCACAAGTAGGCCGATCTCCACTGTTGCAAACAGCACTCCTAGAAAGGCTCCAAGGCAAGCTAGGAAGTCTAGCTTATCAACCTTCCAAATATTGTAAGCTTCATTGAGGTCGATAAGCCCTGGAAGAGCAGAGAGAATAATCGAAGCAAGGATCGCGATTGGAGTGTAGTACAAGAGCCTTGTGAACAATTCCAATGATATGAACACTGTAATAGCCATTACAATATTTGACACTGCAGTTTCACAACCGGCACCGAAATTCACAGCCGTCCGCGAGAAAGAACCTGCAATATTTGGCTATTGAGAGACTGCTGGTGAATACTGATAGAAATGTGATGATGGATGATAAAAATTAATATAGCTTAATTACCGGTTGCAACATAGCAAGAAGTGAAAGAACCTATGATGTTCATGAACCCCATGGCAACCATTTCTTTGTTTCCATCAAGGTGGTATCCCTTCACGGCTGCAAAAGATCGACCGACTGCAATTGCTTCCTAAGATTGACACAATAGAAAGTAAGTTATATATGTTGACAATATACTTCAATAAGATAGGCTTGAAAAACCTTCTTGAATTCTGATACCAACCGTGAGTGCAATTATAGCTACAATCAATCCTATCTTAGTCACTTCCCCAACATGTGGCCCGTTGAACTGCAACTGGCGCACTGAACTTGGATTTAAGCCTCCTTTGATGTGTTTTAATATCTTAACTCCATGTTTATCAGCTTTGGTCAGGAAAACAATCAGAGTTGCTAAAATGACAGATATCAGAGGAGCAACAGCTGGCAACCAAAAGAGTTTTCTGTTCCTTCTACCCTGATAGAAATGGAAAGTGGAAAAATCATTTAAAGATGATTTCTGAAAATACAGCTCTTCAATTGATCAAAGTTAAAAACAAATATTGTTAACTATCACAAATAGTTCTTACCAGAAATCTTGTGATTAGGATGAAAATCAGGAATGAACATCCGAGAATAAAGTTATGAGGATTCCACTGTACAGTGCAGAAAAAGGACAGAATTAATCTTGAAATCAATTTTGAGAATTTCAAAAACTCAGCAGACAAGCAGTAATGTCTAGATTGCAATATACTTAGGGAAAAGGAAAGTGAATTAACAGTACAGGATGATGGAAGGAACTCCACACGGCTTTCATGACAGAGATAACATCAGTCTTGTTTGTAAAGTGAGTGATTCCAAGTAGTCCCTTGAGTTGTTGAAGGCCAATGACAATGGCAGCGCCTGCCATGAATCCAACAATAGCTGCATGTGATAGAAAATCCACTAGGAAACCTGACCTGTAAAATCTCAAAAAGGGAAAAATTCAGAAAGCTCAAATATACAAGAAACCTGTTAAAAATGAGGGATAAAAAAAAAAAGAAAAAAAGAGAAAAGATGAATAAAAAATGCCAAGAACGTGACATACCTGAATAGTCCAAAGATGGCTTGAAAGGTACCCGCAAAGAAAGTTGCAGTAAGCACAAGCTTCTGGTAAGCAATTGGATTAGTAACAGGATTCTCAAGTTTCTGAACCATTGAGGACAGAAGTAGTGAAATCACAGCAACTGGTCCAATTGCTATCTCTCTTGAAGTTCCCATTACAGCGTAAATGAGAGGCGGGACGACACTCGTGTCTAATTGAGTAAAACGGAGAGAATCATTGACATAATATCTAACGAATTCAGACAGCAAAAGCATACCAAAAATTCAAGCAGTAGCTTACAGAGGCCATATTGAGGATCAAGCTTCGCCAAAGTTGCATATCCAATACTCTGTAAGAAAGTACAATGAGACCATGGCATAAATGACCGACATGATATCAGTAACGGAACGGGAAAAGAACCCAAAATTTGATGATGAAATTACGAACTTCTTAGAGAAAGTGACTATTTTAGCCTCATTGAATCTATGAAGGACTCTTTCATAGATATTTATGTAGATTTTATCTAGAAAGAATTGCAAAGTTTATTCAAAGTCAATTGAGATGTTAGTATTTCAACTACACTATATAGTTAGAATGATCATAATTCGCACCTTAACCTTAGCTTACCTGAGGAATGCAAAGGCTTGCAAGAGTTAGACCTGCCATTAAATCGTGCTTGAATTCTGTTATCTTGTAGTTCTGACACCAAGAAAGGATGGGAAATATTGCTTGCAACATTGAAAATAGTTCATCTTTCCATCCGGACCGCTTGTTCAGAAATGGTATTTTGTTTCTCCAAGAAACAGCAGTTTCCATGAGCTCATGGCCTAGACCTGGTGGCTTGGGGGTATTAAGCACCCACTGGACCCTTTCAACACAGTCATGCTTCTCAAGGTCTAGCATTTCATGATCTGCTGGTGTAGCAGTAAGCGGGGAAGTCATGGCTCTGTTTGAAGTGCTTGGGGGAACCGAAAGAGCTCTCTTCTTCTCAGGAATTTAGCGGAGTAGGTTTAGCCTAGGAGACTGGGATCATACCAAAATGAAGAGAACATGATAAGAAATTGATTTATAGACCGAAAAAGGAGATTAAACGGTGGAGGAATTTTCAACAAAGAAGGGAATAAAGATCACAGGCCTATGACCTTAGTGAAGAAACATGAGAGCCATTCCTAGCTGATGAAAGCCGAAATGCCATATGGTAACCTATACATCAAGCAGTTATCAGGAACAACTATATCCATATGTGTGTGTGTGCACACGCGCATTGTATGTATAATGTATGTGCGAACATTAGCCAAACAACAACTTATCATTAAAGAGAGAAAAGGCTTGAGACGCGTATTTCTACTAAACTTATAGTTAGACCAGGCTTCTATTGAAGAAATAAAGGGTATGTTTTGGACATGGTGAAAATTTGACATTAATAAACCCTTTAACATTGAGGAACAAAGGTTGAAGTTGCACATTGACGTATTATCCTTACAACTTACAAGTTGATTATTGAAGGTTTTGCCTATTATAAAAAGTGCTATGCTTGGCCGGGCCACTTCTAAAGAAAGGATCATTCTTGAACCATCTATATAAATCTGGTCCTTGCAGATTTCTGAAAAAAAGGGACAATTCTTTTTTATTTCAATCCCTCTCCAAAAACAACTTAACTATTGTCCAATTTCCTTTTAACAAATGATGCAATATAGTCAAATCCGAATTCTGAAATTTCTGCCCAGAATATCATTCCTTGAGGCTGGACCACACCCGAAGCTCTGAAGCGACAAACATTATCATTGCGGGATTTACAGCACTACATTTGGAAGCGAAAAGTGCAAGCAGGTAAAAATATTGTAGCAAAAGATGCAAATGCAATGGACTATATTGAGGACACACCAAAAAGCTCACCGAAAGACAGCATTTTCAAAGGTGTTCTGAAGAGGGAATATATATATATTCTTTCCGAAGTGTTTTAAGTTCTAACTCACAAATTTTATTTCTTCAATGTGATGTACTTTTACCATTTTTATTATTATACTTTAAAGGTTTCCCCATTCTTTTTTTTTTTTTTTTAAATTTTGTTGTTTTGGTTTTGGGTATTGGCTTCCCATTTATCTTCTTCCACCAAAAAGGTGATGCAGAATGAAATTGTATCTTGTCGAGTCGATCTCAAGTTTTGGGTATTATTTTAATAAAAATTATTATTTTATTTATATATATATATTAATTTAAGTTTGACCTCAAATTCAAACATATAATCGAATTTGAAATGGGTCATAAAAATTAAATTTATTTTTAATTAATTTAATTTAATTAAATAAATTCGAATAATTTAATTTTTATTTTTAATTTTTTGAATTTAAAAATTAAATTTTAATCAAATTCAAATCAAATTTTTAACAATAAATTTTAAATTAAATTTTAATTTTAATTTTTTATTTTATCAACTCGATTTCGTTCTATTATATTTTTATTTCAAACTAAAAGCTACTATACTTATATTCAAGAAGTCCAAGCAAACAACCAAGCCAATAACAAATTTTTATTTGATTAAAGAAAAAAAAGTTAAGATACTTTAGTCACTTTAAGGGTGGCAAAATATCAATGAAGCCGACAAATCATCCAGAATGGCCCAAAATAGAATATAATTCTATTCAAATTGGCTGAAAAAAAAAATTCAAAGATACAAATTCAAAAATTTCAAAATCAAAATAATATAAATTCAAAATAATTTAAATTCGAAGCAATCTGAAATCGAAGTAATCAAAACCTACAATGATCTAATTTAATACTAATATAAAAACTCAAAAATCATTGAATTATAATTAATTTGAGACTGATCTATCTTGAAAAAGAGCAAATTTAAAACATTTCAAATTCAAGATTGCTACAATTCATAATGATTTAAACTCAAAATAGTTTAAATCTAAAATGATTCGAATTTAATATTATCGAATAATTCAGACTTAAAATAAATATAAATCTAAAAATAAATTGACTTAAACCATTCCAAACCTCGTCAAATGCCACGTTAGTCTTAGCTTTCAATAATGAATATAACTTTCATTTTCTGCATTGATGAAATAATCACTGTATGAAGAGAAGTAAGAACAGAACAGCTAAATTAATTTGTTTTGCAAGTTCACAACCACTACTTTTTGGCAAACAACATTAGAGGCTTACATATTTTATATCCCCTAAAGTCAATTTGTGCTTGGTTCTTTATTCCCTTGATCTACAAACAAATCGGAGAAATTAAAAGAGGATGCCTACAAATTAATTGCTAGATACACTTGTACTATTTTATTCATTAGGACTAACTTTTATCATTATTGTTACCAGAGGAAAGATTAGCATGATCTTGTTAGTGAAAGGCATTGCTTCCCTTTGTCTTATTCCTTCATTAAAAATGGCACTTAGCTTGTCAATCCCACCAAGGGCCAAAATTCAGTTTCATAATGTATCAATATTTTATTCAAAATGAAGATTTATATTTGATATATGATTAATATACAAATTATAAGTTAGTTATTTTATGGAATTATGTATTGTTACTTCATTGATAATTGAACTTAAAAGTTTGAAATTTAATCTTTCAAAGATTAAAGTTGAAGTAATTTATTTCGTATGTGGCACAAGCTTTATCTATTCCCTTAATAAGCTCAATTTTTCATTAAAATTCATGAGCTAATGTCATTAAGATAAATCAAAAATTGTAATTCGCTGATCGTTATTATTTTTTAATTAAAAAGATTGTAATCTAAAATTTTAAAAAAAAATTAGAAATATTACTTCTTATAATATCACTTCTTATAATTGATTGCATATGTGACCAATTTGAGAATCAAAAGTCATAAATCTCTTAAAAATTTAAGTTCCACATATGGATATTTGGGAACAATGGGAGTAACAGAAAAAACAGACATGTTAAGTTGAGTATATGACTTAAATTTTTCAGAAATTCCTCTTGCGAATTGATGAAGATGCGGGGGTTGTATTTTCAAACATCCATGGCTTTGCCCTGGCAAAAAAGACAGTAAACTTTGGGTTAGGGTGTGAGCCAAGGAGCAGGCAAAGCATCGAAGTCATAAATGCACACAGCTGACAGCACTCGTACATTTAAAAATTTTAAAGGGTGACGAAAAAGTGGAATTTTATCCCAGACAAACAGACAATCAATGTTCGATCGATGATTCTATGGAAAATGGGTGGTAACGAGCTTTGGACTAACACCTCCTTTCCTTTGCTTCATTCATCATTGTTTTCAGGACTTTGATATGTAAACTTTTCTTTTTTTTTTTTGGTAAACTTTATTAAAACAATTCTTTTACTCCCCAGATTTAAAATTGTTAGCACTAGACTAACCTGTGACCATGATGGCGATTATTTTTTACTAATTTTATTTTTCCCCAAAAATGTCATTAAACATTTTACACATATATAAATATATATATATATATGCAACAAAAAAATTGAAATGTGAAAATAAAAAATTTTAAATTTTAAATTTTAAATTTTTAAATGTCAAATAACCGAATAACACTTCAAATTCAACAAAATTCTATTTCACTTTCTCTTTTTTCGCTTTAAATTGAGATAATTAGGAGTAAATCTTCACTCTTGATAATAATGTTTAATTTAAATCAAACAAGCTAATCTTTTATTATTATTATTATTATTATTATTATTCTCTAGGAGGTGAGTTAAAACATTTTCTTCTCATAAAAGAAAAAAATTTTCATAATTATAGTTAATTATCGTTTGTTCCCGTGGTATACATGGCAGGCAGAAATCAACTTTACATAGGCTACAGGTAGCCCTTTACAGATAGATTAAAGGTTAAAAACATAAGCTGCAGCCCAAAACAAAGAGTTCAAAATTCTAGTTTAGGAGGTAAAGAGAGAGCCAGGCCAACCCAGTACTCCATAACAGAGTTGCATTAACCAAGCCCAATCTTTTCTAGAGGACTGATGCGCAAACGGGAACTTGAACTATCAAGTAGGGGAGTTCATTGGTTAATAAAACGTATAATTTGGATTTTCTTTATTGTTTCTTGTAACTAACTAATCACTTTTCATGATGGTCATCACTAAATTTTAAATAATATTAATAATGTAAAAAAATTTTTAAATAATAGAAAAAAACTCGTGCCATAACACTAATTTAATTGTATTTAAAATTATTAAAATTTAAATTTAATCATTAAAATAAAAATTACAACACGGGTTCCTTTCTAATGTGTAAATCATCAAGAGTCTTTTTAGAAGACAATTGTAACAAAATAGAAGATTCTACTAAAATCATGTAAAATAATATAATTATTTATATCAAATTTTGATAATTGAATGAAAAATGAGTGACGTTGATGGAAAAGCCAGTGTTACTTTCGATACTTTTCCATCAAGTTATATAAAATTATAATATGTACCCAAAAATAAATTATAACTAGAATTAGTCCCCAGTAGAATAATTATTTTTATATTAAAATAATAAAAATATTATTAAAAAATTAAATTAAAAATATATATAATATTTCTTATGTTACAATTACATTTTTACTATTTTTTTCATATTATATTATGAGTGTTGTATTTTTTTATTAATTATTTGATCAAAATTATAAATTTTTTAGATTATAAATATTTTATAAAAATATTTAAAACAAAAGAAATGAAAAAAGGAAAGTAACTTTTTATTTTTATATATATTTACATATAATTATTATTATATTTTTATTATTTTATTGTCGATAATAAATTATAAAAGAAAAAACTCAAAACCTATAAAAAAATACTTAATTACAATTTAACATCAAACGAACTCTCACATTGTTTCTCTAAAATCAATTAAAGATCAAACTCATCATATCCCAATCCAATTAAAACTTAACACACAATTATTTACCAAACCCAATAACTTATTAAACTTTTTTATTAACCACTAGCTATCTGATAAATAAAAAATAAATTGACAACTTAATTATGACCTACCCTTTAATTGCGAGTTGTGTTTACATAAGGACAACTTTTATGATATGTTATTGATTAATTTATATATAAAGGAAATATTAGTACTCTCACAATATTTATCTAAATATGATATCAATTAATCTTATATTATCCTAAAAAACCTTATCTAAATGATAATTTATTTTTAATTAAATTTCATTTTTTGAAATATTGGAATATTTTCAGGTCCTCTCTAATATTTTGATAGAATTTTGATAAAATTCTTTCATTTTAAGAGTATTTAAGAAACACATATTTTAAAAAAAATATATGTTCGAATTAGTTTAAAATTTTATAAAAAAGTTTATTTTATTTTTGTTTTTGATTTTACCAACCTTTTTTTAATAAATATTTTATTAACAAGTAAATAAAATATTTTTATTGGAATACTTCCAAACTCTTTCTAGCAATTTTTGAGAGATTCTAAAAGATTTCCTCATCTAGTAATTTCAAGCACCACTTATAATTTTCTTTTAATTTTATCATTGGAAGAATGTTCATTGTTTTTCAATTTTTTAAAACTTATATGATACAAATAAATAATAAGTAAATAAATTTAAAAAATTTATAAATTTATTTGTCTAACATATATTTTTAATTTTTTTAATGTTTGTCAAATGATCAAAACGTTTTTCTAATCTAAGATTTTAAATATATATGTAAATAAAAAATAAACAATTTAAAAAGCAAATTAATAAATTAAATTAAATTAAAACTAAAATAAAATAAAATATC